ACGTTGAAGTGAGATTCTTATCCTGAACATTTTTGTATAGACCAAAACTGACACTGTAGATTATACTTTACATGTGTTCTTTTTATTTAGAAAAATATATATAGCAAGATGAAGAGAAGATTTCCCTGTTGCTACTTTTCCATGCAGGTCAGTGAGCAGAGCATAAAATTGCTCTGAAATTCTCATATTAACATTTTCTCAGAAACGCTTTTTCCATTATTCCTATATTTCTTTCCAAACCATGTTAGTCATCCTTTCTTTTACTTCTTTCCCTTATGCGGACAAGGTGACTGGAAATAGAGGTGACTGCATTAAAATCCTATCAGACGAGCCAGATTCCTGGAGACTATAATAAAAGGTGGTGGACTGTAATAAAAGCATGCAAAGGGTTACTGGAAGCTATCCCACACATTTCAGCGCCAGATTCCAGAGACAGTGAATACCTACAAAAGCCAACTCTGTTTCTGATATCTGACAACTCCAGAAAATAGCCACTGGACTAATGGCAAACACATGGAGGGATGCACTCTACCATCTCACCTGAATTACGCTAAAGGTGAAGGGTTGGGGTGAAATTGTGGAGCTGTTCTCATTAGTCTAACAAAAGATCCACTGTCAATCAGGCTGATTCTACAGAAAGATCTAAGTCTTCTGTTCAAGTTATTCACCTTCTAATATTTCATTCTACTTCTGCTCATGTACTTTCTCACTTGACAGGTATCTCTTCTGGAACTATGCAATGACTGTGCACACTTCCATCACTCGTCCTCTCCCTAAAAGTTCTCAACTAAGGATCTTAATTCCCTAGAGCTGTGGGTTTTCTCTTTAAAATGAAACCCACAGCCTGTGTTCCCCTCTCCACTGAAAGCTTTGTCCCAGTCAAAAATGAATCTCTTCTAAAGCAGAGAACAGGCTTGTGACGAGACAGCATCTGTCAGCGTCTGGAAGTTGCACAGCAGGGCATCCTGGATATCCTAGAAATGGAAGCACATGCTTCAACATCTCCTTCCTTAAAGTCACAGTCCATACACTTGGCTAACAGTTACCTATTTTCTGCGAAAGGATGCTCTATTTTTTTAAACACTGTGCTAAACTATGCACAAGCCTATGAAAAGAGAGGATCCCTAGAATGAAAAGCTTGCAATATAAATGTGTAAGACAGAGGGAAAGCAGGGCAAACTAACCTGCCCAAGATTACACAGTATATCAGAAGTACCAGTTCCCATCAAGTTCACGTGCAGAGTTTCACTAGACTCACTGGAACTACTTGCGTAAATTCAGGATTCAACCAATGCAGTTCTACCTGGGTTAGCAATTCTGGAAGAGGGGGAGAAGATGGGCTGTTGATACTACGCAGCAGGTCAATGACTCTGAGCAAGGGGAGAGGACAGGGTGTTTAACACGCCACTGGCACCTACAACAATCCTCTCAATGTTGCTGTCACTACCAGCATTGGATCAGCAGTAGCAACAGCAGATAATACTGCAAAACACATCACTTGCGCAGACAAGGTTTGGGGTCATGCTTTACATAATGGAAGACGATAACCAGTAGAAATTTTATTCAAGGCTTTCTGCACTCACATTGTTATTATTTTTTTTAAGTTACAAACAGAAGTTCACTTTTCGTAATCTGGGGACAAGAAACGTTCCAGGAAATATTAGTAGATGGGAAGAGTTTCACTTTCTTATTGTACACTTTTGTCTGCAGAAAGTTTAATTTAAAGACTTAGAAGAGGTCTTTATAAATAAAAATAAAGTGTAAAATTTCCATCAGAAATAATCATCTTTTTAAACAGACACAAATCTTTCTTCAAGGATTTATATTTATTGCTGGTTCCTCACTTTCGTTACTCTTACCAGTTCCACTTCACAAGACTTCTCACCCCTGTCCATTCATTTCTCAGTCCTGCTTTCATACAACCTCGATGCATTGTTCCATTTCCCTAAACTCATCCACAAACCCCTGCATTCTCCCTTTTGAAGAAGTTCTTAAAACCCTCTTAAAAGCAGTGACAAATTGATTCATATAGAAAATCACTGTCTAACAAACTCCTCAGGGCATGAATCATCATCCCCTTATATAGCCCTGCAAAAAGGCCTAGCACATAATAGGCAATACCACAAACAGACAAATAAATAGTACTGAGGAAAGTAAAATGTTCCACAGATGTTTCCTATTATGCTAGTATATCCAGATAGGACATACAGTTGAAGGTACTTCTTCAGAAATACTCCTTCAAGTAGTGAGTTACAAGCTTCTGATGGTCTCACTAATTTATAATATGCTTATTCTCGAATGGTAGAAACAGCATGATACAACATTACCAGTTAGCAACGGAGGCTGGCAAGATTCAAGTAATTCATCATCTGCTAAATAAAACCTGTAATCCTTAGTAGAAAGAATCATGGAGCGGTTTAAAAACATGTTGATGATAAACGAAGGCAGGAAAATGCCCCCTACAAAAATCAATTACATAAAAGCAAACTATCAGGTTACAGAATGAAAATTCATGAGTATATTAAAGCGCAAAACCACGAGGATGTTTTGTTATATAATAACTTGCAGCTGGTATTTCCTAAATTATTATTTATTCAAAAACTATCTTGCAGACCATGTCACTGTAAAAATTAAAACGGAATATCTACATTTATTAAGTGTCATCTCTAAATATGTAAAAAAAATAGTCATAAACAACAAGATAATTGAGCAAAATATGAATTTTGGCTAATTCTTTGTAGACAAGTATTTTAAACATAAAGAAGTATTTAAACTCAAATCCCCTTCTTAGCCTGAAAGTACCCCTTGGAAAATGCCAGGTCTTAGTTTTCCCTCATTTTTTGAACCTAGAAAAACAATGGAGCAATTCTTCTGTTGCAAAGAACTCAGGTCAGAATGTTTTTGACACTATGGATTCAGTTTTCTGATATCTGGGGTTATTTTGTGAATCCTATGAAGGTGTTTGCACAGCTAAAAATGCTAAGATTGTGCAGCAAGGTTAAAAGGATCATATAGCACCACAGACTAACAAGGCACCCAGGCTGAGCATCACTACTTTGAAGTTTAGGTAAATCTCAGTTAGTCTCTGAGCAAATGTATTATTAACACCTGATAATTTTATTTACATATGCCTGGAATGCAACTGCACATGTAGATGATGCCTAATTTACATGAACAACTGACGTGTCTACATGAAGAAACTGGGTACATTTCACATGCAAATGACCAGTCAAGCTGTCATGAGCTGGACACACACAAATTAAGAGTGCAATTGTGTATTTGTCCCTTTTTTCAGCCACACACCCATCACTAAAAAAAAAATTAAAACTTCCTGGAGTACAGTGATCTAGTCTCAGCGACAACATAAGAGAAGAAAGGTTTTTTTGGTGATATCTTTTACTGGGCCAACTGTGCAACTGGAAAGACGCACCAGGCAAGCTTTGGGGCACGAAGTGCCTTTCGTCGTATCTGGGGCTATACAACTATACAGTTTGTCCAATAAAAGATGAAGCCGAAGAAAACCCTTTCTTCTTGTATATTTCATGGACCATCACAACTACCACAGCACTCCAGCCCCATAACACTGTAAGTACCTATGAAGACTACACAGCTAATTTGCCTTGGCCTCTAAAAGGATGCAACCAAAAGAAGTACAACTTCATCATTTAAGTCACTTGTAAGAAACACAGGGCATTTTTTTAAATTTTGGACATTTCCATTTGGAAGATATACTGGTTTCTTTCCTTAGTTTCCTAGTAAACCATAATTAAAAGAGCCATTATACTTTGTTATCCTACCAAAACATACTGTGTCAGCACAGATTTTGAATCAAATTAGTCTGCCACTCCTGTGAGCATAATTTGTTGGGCTCTTCTGCTTATGCACAGAAAACATAATACAATCCTGCATAAGCTGGTTGTCTATGTACTTAATTATGATTTTTGCTGACATGTTTGGCATGGTTATCTACTGGTTTGAGAAGGGTGTGTGAGTTAGAATTTCTGACTGCCACTGATTTTGTTCTAGTTAATAGAACCTGATCCAACTCCTAATGTTAGAAGTCAAATTTTAACAAGTGGTTATTGTTAAAGGCCCTGTAAACTGGCATAATAATACTTACATAACACATGGAGTTGTTAGAATGTCAAAGTAGTTATTTTGTCTACAACAGTGACATACTGGGAGTTAAATGCTCTAGAGATATTATTCTTATACAAAGTAGCATACTATATATTAAGTTACAGGTATAACTCAGTAGTTTGCACTACTATATAAAAGATAAGGGGCATTTTTACACATGCTCTGAGAGGCGTGGGGGGTGGTCTTTAATTAGTGAGTTGTGCTAATTAAGAGCGCCCAAGTGTCACATGTCCCATGACACTGAAGTCTGCTGAAGCACGTTAATTTCCGCACTCCAGCAGACGTGATTAACTGAGTCTGCTCTGACAGGCTGGATTTCCAGTGCATCAGAGCAGGCTCCCTGCACATGTATAGGAGCCCAAGGTTTCTAAGGGAATACCTGTACTGCATAACCAGCGCAGGCTAAATGACATAAGAGTTTAAGAGCTCCTTTGCTGCCTTTGTACCTAAATTTCATGGTGTCAGCATAGTATCTAGTGCACAAGTTTCCACAGATTAAAAAAAATAGCATAGCTTTATAGCAAATCCACATGATGACTAAACTATCTCCCAGCATTTAGAAGTGCTTGCTTCAGGGCAAAGACAAGGTACAATGATAGAACAACATGAGGATGCTTGTTCAGTGGATAAACAGAAACCTTTGATCTCCAGAGTCATAGCGAGCAAGAAAATAAAAAACAAACAATTAAAAATATTTCTATGCTTCAGAAATTGCACTATCCTGTCACATTATCGAGCTGTTTACTTTAGGGGAATCACAAGAACAACACACCAGCAATGAGACCACTGAGAATTTGATTCTGCGATCCAAAGATCACTAGACCTTTTAAAATAATAAGAATGAAAAATGTATTACTTACTTTTTTGATAGGGGCTCTGCAGTGGCCATCTTTCTAGATGAACTGTTTCATTAAGAGCTCAGAATGGAAGATTCTGTCTCATGACCAAGATTAATGATTGCTGCAAAGAAGGAGAAATTGCCTTTTGAAACTTGCATAGAGTGTGTCTTTATGTCCAACTGCTTAGAACCAATTTTCTTATAATTGCTGGCCATGAACACTTTGCAGAGGAGCAAAACAGCAATGCCTCAACATCTAGGGTCTTTGTCTCTTATATCTGCCTACCAGTTAAGCACATATTCTTCTTGGGGTCACTGCATATTTCAGCCCCACTGTCTACTTTGGAACTTGACTGTACTCCTGTCAACTAAGCCAGAAACAATAAAGGAGAAGCAGCTGTGAAAAGGCTGCATTAGAGATACTGAAAATGATAGGAGCTAGTTAGCTTTGGAGATGCTATTGTTACAGTGCTCCTTAAGTAACCAGCTCTATCTTTGCTCCTGGTGTGATCAGCTCACAAAACTGATTAGCTCTCCTCATTTTAAAGGCTTCTAAGTTATTTTCAGGATTGCTCCTCAAAGCCTTGAAAATGACAGAAGTTTCAGGGTTGTTAATACCAAGGCACTGACAGAGCTGTGTATTTAAGGTACACTGTCTCAACTGAGTTTAGGCAACTACCTTTTTTCCAGCCCCAAGGCTAAACATTTAAATGGCATACATTTAAATTTAGGTTATAGCGATTTGATAAACTACTGGAACAGGGCTAGGTCAAAAATATTGGACTGATTCATCTATAGAGTAGCTCAAACACATCAACTTTAAACCAAGTGTTTTACTTCATTTTCCTGTGCTTTCTCCTTCCCTTTCGTCTTAATACTAAATTGTAGGAGTTTTCTGTCCCTTCCTTGTGCTGAGAAACAAGGGGCCTTGATCACAAATAGTGTGTTTCTGGAATGAGCTGGCAACGTAACTGTATAAGGAAGTACATACACATTACCCCCTTGCCCTTCAGATTGGCACCTGAGAACATGATGTTCTGAAAATGCAACATTAATATAAGTCAGAATCTAAAGGGTGAGGTTTCAGCCATGTGTTTCTTGTCTTTAAGAGAGGAAACACACGCATCACTAAAGAATAAGAATCCAAATGAATTAAAGTCAAATCAAGTAGAGCTTGTTCTACAACTCTGGAGCAGTCTCAAAATCTAAAGCTAAAACCATTTATCAAGAAAATTATGTATGCATAACAACATGATCTCTCCACATCTTGTGTCTGTAGAGACAAGTACCTATTTCACAATAAGTCTTCTGAGGTTTAACTTAACGAAGTGTGTAAGTTCAGTGGATGAAAAGTGCTATATAGAAGCAGATGGCAATACTATTCTTCCTAACCCATCAACTAATATAATGAATGCATTATAATGAACCCATTCAGCATACAGCTATCTCCTGTGTGGGGGTAGTCGCTTCCTAAGCTCTATTTCTATAAATAATAGCAAAGCCTTTAAACCATGGCGAAAATGTAAATCTTTCCCTCTAAAATTTTCCATCCGTTGCTATTTGCAAGATATTGTTTCCTTGTAACAGTTTAGTTTAACTTGTTTCTTTTTTCTCTATATGAATACTGTGGCAGTTTTGGAAAAATTAAATAAAACCAGAGCAAATTTCCCCAGACTTCACTCAAGGCTTTATAATTCCACACTATTCGACCCTCTAGACAAGGAGTGAAGCAGTGTCAGGAGCTGCTAAATATCCCATGTTAGTGAAGGCAACACCATGGAGAAAAGAAAAGCAACACACCAAAGTAAAACTTTCAGATACAGTTTCAGCGCATGAAACTGGTGCTGTTTGCGTTTGCCATGTTTGTGAATTTGCCTGAACTTGTCAAGAAATCATTGTGCTCTACAACACCCAGGGTAACTTAGGCAACATGTTCATGTTCTACATAAACACCTAGTCAAATCAATGCAAATTAGAGTGATCCTCCAGCACAACATAACTATAGCACGAACCACTGAAAAAACCAACACATCACACAATGCAGCGAGACACCACCCATAACTGCTGCTTGCCTCCAAGGTCAAAGCATTTGTGGAAATAAATGGAGTTAGACAAGGGATAACAGGGGTGTCTTCTTGCTCTTCTGTACCAAAACACCATCTGAAAACTGCCGGGCTACTGCTCATTACTCTGCATTACATCCTAGGTTAGCATAGCCAGAAGTCACCTCTGCAGCAAAATACTGTGATGCAACAGGGTAGCACTAACTGACACACAACAGCACCAGCTGCAAACATTAGGAGCTCACCACAGGTTGCTGGAAGGGACCTGCTGAGCTCACAAAGGCTGGCAACTGACCCTTGCAATTGGTCATAAACACACCAAGCTCCGTGTTAGAGCTCAGCTCACCTGGCTGTCCCCCACTGCTCCTACTGGGAAACGGTGTCAGACCCTCAGTCTACGCTGCTCAGAAGCCTTCTCATTTCCATCCAAAATGAATTCCTGGCCCCTTTCTTGCCCCTCTCTCCTTGCCTCAACTGCTCCTCTCCCTCCACGTGTTTAACCCCATCAGACATATATGTATGTGTGCCTGCAAACATGTACATGCATGTAGGTATGTGTGTAAGTGTGTATACATATAAGTATGCACACAGGCACATAAACAGGCATATATACGTGTGTGTGTGCGCGTGTGTGTGTGGCTGTGAGAAAGGGCTGTGTTTCGATTCGGTTTCAGCTGTTTTGGAGGACAGCGATTCGTTTTGGTGTTTCAGATCACTGTCCTGTTTCATTTCAGTCAAATCTCAGTTTCATAGTTGATAGGGTCAGAAGGGACCTGAGCAGATCATCAAGTCCAAACCCCTGCCATGGGCAGGAAAGAGTGCTGGGGTCAAACGACCCTGGCAAAGTGTCTATATCTAGCCTCCTTTTGAAGACCCTCAGGGTAGGAGCAAGCACCACTTCCCTTGGAAGTTGGTTCCAGATCCTAGCCACCCTAACTGTGAAGTAGTGCCTCCTGATATCTCTCTCTCCTCCGAATCTGTTTCGGACTGGCTGCAAGCGATGTTTCGTACAGCCCTACTGCCCAGGCGGGCAGGGCATGGGGATGCAGAGCCCCAGTGGGGCCGTGGGTGGCTCATCTGGGAGAGGGGGAGGTCCGCTGCCCTCCATGTAAATGGGAAGACCCCCGGACAAATCTCTGATCCCTGTCATGCTGGATCGTGGGGCAGGGAAGCAGCACAGAGCAGAGAGAAAACATGCTGGTCTCTGCTGTGTGACCTGGCTCCACGGAGAGCAGAGATCCACGCTGGGGTCTTCTCGCCGCCACTGCCTGCCCCGGATTTCTGCTCCCTGTGGAGCCAGGTCGTGCAGCAGAGACCAGCATTGCCTTGCCATGTGACCTAGCTCCGCAGGAAGCAGACATCTATGCTGGAGGTCTCCTTGTTGTTGTTGCTGCTGCTTGCCCCGTGCAGCCCTGCATCAGTAGGGGCAGTGCAGGGTGGGCAGCTGTGGCGAGAAGACCCTTGGCCCGGATCCCTGCACCCTGTGCAGCCGAATCACATGGCAGTGCAGCAGCGTACAGCTGTTTCCCTGTGAAACTCTGAAATTTCCCAAAATGTTTCTAATGCCTTGTTTTGTTTCACAGCCATTTTGATTTGGATTTGGTGTTTTGGGTGCTCAAATGGCCTAAAACACCTCTGAAACAAAACAGCTGCTGAAATTTTGCACCACCTTAATATGTGTGTGTGTGTGTGTGTGTGTGTGTATTATATGTGTGTGTGTGCATATAACCTGGGCAGTGGCGATGCATAAGGGGGACATGTGGGTACACGTACACTCCCTACAAAAAGGCGCCACCGACATTGTTGGCAGCACCTGTGGGCGGTTGCCACTCCCCACCCCCACCATCGACACCGCCGGCAGCATCTGTGGGCAGCCAGCAACTGCCGCTGGCCCCCACCGATGGCATCTGCACGTGGTCAGTGACCCCTGGTCGGTGCTCACCACCCCCCTCCTGCCACCCATCTGTAGGAGCTCCCTGCTTACCGCCTCCACATTACCTACCAGCGCTGCCACATTCCCGCTGCTGCCAGTGCTGCTGTGCTCCCCCCAGCCGCTGGGGGCCCACGTCATTCATGAACCTGGATACCTGACACATAGAAGATACCGAATTTTAGCCGATTTTTAAACAAATGAAATCTTCATATTTTCTCAAGCAGGAAGCAACGGTGACCACCTGAAACCCGAGATCGTGCTCCTGCCTTTGTTTCGAGGCAATTTGCATCATCACACATGCTCCCAGGAGATGAGAGGCTCCACACCAGCTATGAACCGCCTGCCCAGAGCAGTTTTCCACCTAGTGACTCCCCTGTGAAATCGTATGAACTTTCTTACACACACACACACACACACATATCAGGGCTGTGCAAAATTTCAACATCTCTATGAAATCCTATATGAACTTTTATTTCTACCCAGGTGAACTTCAACGCTCTTTCCTCCGATTTCCGATGAAGGGGGTTTGTGCCCAAAGGCTGGCAATGAGAGAATTTTTTTTTTTTTTTTTTTGCAAAAATCTTGTTTGTCTAATAAGATGAGTCCTGATTGCCTTTTCCTCTAAAGTAATATGGCTCCAACCTGGATACCTGTGTGTGTGTGTATGTGTGTATATATATATATATACACACACACATACACACACACACACATACGTATCTACATACACAGATAAATATCCACATATACACACATACACATACATACACACACACACACACACATATCTATAAGTATATGTATATATATGCATGCATGCAGACAGGCACATACACGTGCATGCAGATCTCTGTAGTGTGCACGTGTCTACACACACACACACACGTACGTGTGTAGCGCGCGCTCTGGTCTGTCCCGCCGCTGCCCCAGCCACGCTCAGCCGGTGCCGTCCCGGGCGCAGGGCAGCCCTGAGGC